AAACTTTTTTTTTAAAAAATGTAAATTAGCCCACTTTCTAGTGCAAAAACAGCCATTGTACTAGGCATGAAGGCAGTCATCTGAACTCTCAACAACCCCACCATCTCTCCCAGCCCTTGGTTTCTCACACACAAGCATACACAGACACTCTCTGCATTGAACCACATGCATTTTCTGTCATTCACTGTTATTGATTTTCTCTGGAATATACTGTCTCTGGCACACCCACATTTGTGGCTTGAGCATGCACATACACAGACATTATTTCTGGCACACAGTCAAAGTCTCTGGCACCCACAAATTTCATGTACATAGTACTTTTCACATTGAGAAGACATTTCAAAGTGCAAAGTTGGAAGTGGGAGGGGGAAATTGAGGAGGGAAAGATGGCCGAAAGCATGGTGGTAGAGGTGATGTCTGTCAGACATCAAGTCCTGGATGAGAGCTAACTTTCTTCAGTTGAACGTCAACAAGACTGAGGCTCTCCTGATTGGCTCCCGTCAGCGCCTCCACACCTCAGGCATCACCTGCCCTGGATGCACACTCCACCTTGCTAAGCCAGTCCGGAAGCTTGGGGTCTTGTTTGACCTTCAACTATCCTTTCTACCCCACATCCATGTCATGACCCGCTCTGCCTTCCCTCACCTCCGCAACATCGCCCGGTTCCGCCACTGTCTCACAGCACAGGCCATCGAAACCCTCATACACGCATTGATAACATCCAGGCTTGACTGCTTGTCGGCTTCCCTAACTCCTCCCTCCATAGGCAGTAGATCATCCAGAACTCTGCAGGCTGTGTTCTCTCGCACTCTCCCGCACCAGGCTCCATGACCCTATCACCTCCATTCTCACCCGACTCCACTGGCTTCCCATCAGGGAGGATACTGGTCCTCACCTTCAAAGCGCTCTAAGACCTCCTAACCCCCTACCAACCTGCCCGCTCCCTCAGCTCAGCGGGCTTCGCCTACCCCACCATTGGCGGGAGGGCCATCAGCCAGTCTGCCCTCACCCTCTGGAACTCCATCCTGCAGTCCCTCCACCTTGCCCACTCCCTCGCCTCCTTCAAGCCCCATCTCAAGATCCTTCTATTCAACCATGCCTTTGGTCACCCTCCTCAGTTCGGGTCCGAAACACTGATTGTCCAGCACCTTGGGATATCCTCCCGACGTGAAAGGCGCTATGCAATTGTAATTTTGTTGTTGTTGGGGAGAGAGGGCAAGGCTGTATGATCCCACAATGGAGCTTCAGGGAATCGGGACAGAATGTCATAGCTCGGCCACTGATGATGGGGCAGAGTGGGCAGGGGACATGAACCAACCCAGCATTTGCTGAGAGGAGATGCCAGTAGGGTGACAGAAAGTCTTTATACAAAACGTATAGAGATAAACATATAATCCCTTAAAATTAGGGTGGTCACTCAATGCACAACTGTTTGTGGGACACTGCGGGGCTCAATTGGCTGCCAGGTTTCGCCCACAAAACACAGTATACAATGTAGCCTATGAAGCGCTTTGAGGCATCTCGAAGATGTGATAAGGCGCTATATCAAATGCAAGGATTATTATTACCTAAGTCACATAGGTAGAATGGGAGCAAGGTCATGGAATCATTTGAAAAGGAGGGCAAGAAGCTTGAATTCGATCGGCTGGGGGATGGAGAGCTAGAAGAACTGAGCAAGGGACAATAAGCTTGTGGAGCCTGGTGCAGGAGAGCATGGATCACAAAGTTCTGGATAGTCTGCAGTTTGTATAGAGCAGAATTGAGGAATTCAGTGAGCAAGGTGTTGGAGTAATCAAGCCTTGATGGGAAAGTGTGGATGAGCAACCAGCAACCAGACATTAGCGGAGGAAATCAACGGTGCAAAGATGAGGTCAAATGGAGTGGGCAGGAACCCAAATTACACCAGGCAGGATGTTAAGCAGCTGCTCAGGGGCTGTAACAGCCCTTGCATTTGATATGCTATCACATCATTGGCACATTTCAAAGCATGTCACCAGAATTTACTGTAAAGTCTAGTGGCTGAGCATTTGTAGGTTAATATGGCTGGTGCTGGAATACTGAGGGAGAGAGGCTAGGTTACCCTCCAACTGTGCTGGGTCTGAGGCAAGGAATTGTCAGGCAGAATGTTCAGATCTCTTTGCATGGACAGGTAAGATACAAACATTGGGTCCATACACCCTAACCCACAGCACTCATCGCTCAATTAATTTTAGTTATACAGCACCTTTCACGCCTAGCAGATATCTCAAAAGTGCTTCACAGAATCAGCTGGGAGCCTGACCTCAGAGAGGAGGCAAAAAAGGAGGGTAAAGGCAGGCTCACGTCTCCTAATGGATGGTCAAAAGAATCACTGACATGAGTCACAGATTGAGACCAAGTGATTTTAAGCGTTGAAAGGTAGAACCCTTGCACAAAGGGAGGAAAAAGGGTTAGAAAATGGGTAGGAAGGATAGAAGTCTTGTTCTGTACACAGTTCAATCACCTTTAAACTACTTTAGTAATAATAATCGTTGCATGTGATGTAGAGCCTTATCACGTCTTTGAGACGTCTCAAAGCATTTCACAGAATATAGTGTAAAGTGAATTGACTTATTTTAAAAGAAAACTTCACAATGCTGCTCAGGAATCTTCATCCATTCCACACGGTTGAATCCTGTGGGAGATCACACGCCACAATTTCTGCGATTATTCAAATGAGGTGAGAATGAGGTGAGATCTAAAATTTCTTTTATTTGCATTTCCGATCCATCACAGTTAATGTTTTTATCAGCTGCTGTAAATGCTTTTGCCCAGGTTGCCCCCGGGGGGGGGTAGAGGAAAAAGACACAGGCAATTCAAAATATCTCCAAATCACAACACAAATCAAAACAGAAGACTTTAAAGACGCGCAACGGGGTCAACTCAGCATCTAAGATAAAGTAAAAGCGTGTTAACGATTTGGAGAAGAACTGTTTAAATCAGGAAGATAGAAAGAAGATAGCTTCATTTTTCATCAACTTAAATCATACCCAAATATACTGCATCACACTGGGAAGACAGATAGAAACTAGTACATCCACTCATCTGGAAAATGTATGGATAGCGTTACCTCTCTCTGTAGGAATAATAATAATAATCCTTGCATTAGATATGGCGCTTTTCACATCAGGAGGACGTCCCAAAGTGCTTCACAGAACACACTGTAAAGTGAATTGACTATATATTTGTGGGTGAACGCGGTAGCCAATTGCGCACAGTAATGTCCCACAAACAGTCATGGATTGAAAATGACCAATTTATTATTGNTTTTTTTGTTTTGGAGGGATTATTATTAGGTGTGTGGAGTAAGGAAACTTGCCCAAGGTTTCGCCCTGCCTGGAATTGAACTCAGGTCTCTCACTTGCAAAGCGAGTGCTCTAACCACTGAGCTACAGGACTCCACGCGGCAGAGATTGGGTATACTAGATCTGCAGCACACTGTTGTCAAGGCACTCACTTAAAACTATCAAACTCATTTCCTGCACGTCAACAACAATATTACCAACAAGAAATACTGAAGATCGCCTACGGTGCCAGTAGGTGATGGTAGTGGTGGGTGGGGAGAGGAGAAGGAGGTAGGGAGGGAGGAGAGGGGCATGGTCCTGAAGTACAGGACTGCATTCAAAGATACTGAATTCCACAGGAAACCAGATGAATGTCACGCTGACCCTTGGGAAGGTCGCTTCGATACCAACCCCGGCCACGTGTGTTGAAGCCAAATTCCCCGTGGTCAGCATGAGGCTTATGATTCCCTTCAAATCAGTTTGTGATTTTCAACTCCCTCTATGAATAGTTTGACATTAGTGATATCGTCTGCACGCATACAGAGTACCTCTCTGCAGGCCCCTTCCCCAACAAACATCTTCTGGTCGAGCACAAGTTTGCTCAGAGCACGCCTAAACATCTGTAGATCCAGCTTCACTATGCTAATAAATGGCCGACTTCCAGGTTACCAGTTTGCTGACCCCACTTGCTGCACACGGGCCACTTGCTGCACACGGGAAGTGACATAAGCAGCAACCTGGAAGTTGGTCATTTTTTGCACTTTGCTTATATAAACGAGTTACTGAACACAGGAGACTGCATTCTAAAGCAGTGCTCTGTAATTATTGAATAACGGTATAAAATATAGTAGAAAGCAGTTATACTGCTGAGGATTGTCTATAGCTATATTAATTCATCGCTTTTCCCTGCGCCCAGCTTACAGCCTTTGATAATACAAATGTCAATTTGAATGATTCTCTCATATATATATACACACATATAATATATATAATTTGTTGCATTACATCTCATATTGCATTACATCTAAGTTTAGCCTCTACCTGCTGACAGTCCATTTAAATACAGTGAAAATTAAGTGTGCAGTCGGCTGAAAATAAATTGTTTCAGTCTTGTTTTTTTAAAGAAACAATCCAAAGAAAATGTGATCTCAATCAACCTGTGAATCATTCTCTGCTTTCAGGTCAAAGGGTCACTTTAAACTCAGTGGGGTGTTGGATCGTTTTAAAATACTTTGTACAGCGAATCTAGTTTTAAAAACAATACAGCACTAATCTTAAACAATGGGATCTCTTCTACCGGCAAGTATTAAAACAAATTGATTTGCTGCTAATATTTATTTACAAGTATACATACAACACATGAGGAAACACTGATGTTCAAGCCTGTTTGTGTAAATAGTAGTGTAACAAGATGCACTTTTTTTGATTTCAAAGTTTACAATCAACTACTTCCAACTGACATTCACACTACGTGAACAATGAATGACAGTGAACGACTGCTCCTTGCCCCATGCCAATTTACAAATCAAAAAAATGAATTGCCTTTTTAAAAAGTTTTATGCGATAGTGAAGCCATTTGCAAAATGATCAGAGTTCAACATAAAGGGGGGGGGGGTGGGGGGAGACAGGGTGGTACGTGGAGGGAAAGCAACTCTCTGACCATCTGTAGGACCGGTAAAAAGAAAGGCATAGTTTTTATTAAAGGGAAAGTGGCAGTTTTTATTAAAGGGAAAGAGGCAGTTTGCCTCTTCAAGTAGAGTAGTTCTGTCAGCGTTTTCAGGCCTCACATTACTGAGCATGTGGTTTTCCCTTGTTGAGTGCCTCCGTCTCCCCTTTCTGCTTCCATTATTATTCGCTTGAAGACTTCCACTGCAGTCTGGGAAGAAAAAGGGAGAACAGTGGAAATAACCTTTCACCAAGATACCGTTAGCAGGTCCCACAACCAACCTGAATATAAAAGACCAATTAATGTCATAGCAAAGTCCGATATTGTGCATGAGTTTCAACAACTCATATATCACTATGCAAGCTTATTTTACATCATGAACAATGCAATTCAACAAAACACACATCAATGACAGAGTCTCTCAAGGAATGTGGTGATACTGTAAAGGCTAGCTCATTGTGGTATTTTATCAGCCAAGGTACATATGCTTGTAATGTGGGAATCGATTTTTTGGGGGGGAAATTTTTTTTAAGATTAACATTCCTGCTCGCAAAGGGGAAAGACGCAAAACTACACTAGATGTCATCAGCACAATTCCGAGTGCTCTAATCCCTTATGTAGCGGTTAGAGCACTAACCTCGCAAGCAAGAAAATCTGGGTTCGATTCCGGCCAGGGCAAAACCTTAGGCAAGTATCCTAACTCCACAAACACACCTCTGTTTACCTAGCAGTAAGTGGAAACCCACTTGTTAGTCGATTGGCAAATTGCTTTCCAGGGGTAATAATCCTTTCCCCAAAAAAATAATTTGGGTCACTCAATCCACAACTGTTTGTGGGACACTGCTATATGCAACTGGCTACTGCGTTTCACCCACAAAATACACAAGCACTACACTTTACAGTATATTCTGTGTAGGTCACAGTATATTCTGTAATAAGGCGCTATATCAAATGCAAGGATTATTATTACAAAATAATATTAAAAAAGCTTCCTACAGCATCCAGTGAATTTTATAGGTACAAATAGCTACCAAGATATTTTGAAAATTTATTTAAAATGAGTACCCATGGGGTGATTGCCCACACTGATGGAAAGGAAAGGGAAGAAATTACAGCCAAAATCAGATGCTGTGTTCACCTGAAAACTGCACATGTGCCACTCCAGCAAAGGTCACCAGGCAGCAAGCATGAGCAAGAAAGCTGACGATTTCCCCCTTCTTAACCCAGGGATCTGAAGCTAGTTGTAATAATACTTACATTTGATATGGCACCTTATCACACTGTCAAGACATCTCAAAATGCTTCACAAAATAGGCTGTCAACTGTAGTGACTGTATATTTTGTGGGCAAACACCACAGCCAATTTGCACACAGCAATGTCCCACAAATAGCCATCGAGTGTCTGACCAATTTTATTTGGGGGACTGCTGGCCAAGATAAACTCCTTTTTTCGAATAGTGCCATGGGATCTTTAATGTCCACCTGGATACGCAGACTGGACCTCGGTTTTACTTCTCACCAGAAGGACAGTGTCTCAGATAATGCAGCATACCCCCAGCACCGCAATGGATGTCAACTTAGACAATGTGAGTTTTAAGTTCCCAAGTCGGACTTAAAACCACAACCTTCTGACTCAGAAGTGAGAATTCTACTGACTTGTACCTTGTCTGGTATTGTCAACAGACAAGGTACAAGTTAAGACCTAATCATAAAATACACTAATCTGTGCATTTGATATAGCATCTTTCAAGTTGAGAGGACGACTCGAAGCTCTTCACAGGACTTACTGACAAATGTGGTTTGTAAGGCTTAAAGAGCTTCGTCCAATGCTGCTTGCAATTGGCTGCCACGTTTCACCCACAAGTATATTGTCAATTCACTTTACAGTATATTCTGTGAAGCGCTTTGAGGCATCTCAAAGATGTGAAAAGAGCTACATCAAATATAAGGATTACTATTATAACTGTCTCCACACTGACAGAATAAAGTCTGTACACTGGTGAATCAAGAATTACAGGTACAAAGAGGCCGTTAAGTCCTTTGCAACTTGCTGATTCTATCTTCTTCACTGGTGCTCTCTACTCTAACCCACTCCCCTGCTCTTTCGCCATACCCTTTGATGTTTTTGCTCAAGCATTTGTCCAATTTCTTTTCAACTATACTTATGGACACACCTCCGACAGCCATTTGTGGTAAGGCATTTCACTTTAATATCGTGAATGCGTTTGTTAAAGAACAAAATCCTCTAACTTCCCCTTTTTTTTATTCTCCTTGTGACATCTCCTTATTTGATACTTGAGCTTGACTTTGTTTGGCAGTCTACACACTATCTTAGATCAGACCACCACAAACATGCATTCAAACATATCAGATTATGTGCAGTACAAACTGTCTTTTGTAAAACATATGATAAGAAACTGAAGAGCATCTGTTGCCGTGCTGTGGGTGGCCAGTGAACACACAAATTGTTCATGCCTTAGTCCTCGTGCTTAGGCTCTGCCTACATAATAATAACGATAATAGTCCTTGCATTTGATATAGCACTTTTCACATTTGACCAATTTTATTATTGTTTTTTTTCTTGAGGGATTATTATCAGGCATGCGGAGTAAGGAAACTTGCCCAAGGTTTCGCCCTGCCAGGAATCACTTGCGAGGCGAGTGCTCTAAACACTGAGCTACATGTGCCTAAAATGCCACTGCAGAGCCAAGCAGACCTCATGCTGTTTTGGCAACAGTCCAACTGGATTTACGTCAAGCTTTGTAACTGAGGAGGGCTTATTGCTTTGCACAAGGATTTTTGTAGACAGAACCTTTGACAAAGACAAAGATGGCAGATTCATTAATATGCTTGCCTCTACATTAAACTGACTGGAATAACAAGTTTCCACCAGAGCTGGAAGAAATCAATAAACAGGGGTCCACGCACAACACAAATCAGTTATTGCACTACACACTTCAGAAATCCAACAGCACTCTCTGCCCCCATATATAGTTTTGTGGAGCCTGCCATAAGTTAAGTACGTTACATTACATAAACTGAAAGCTGCAGATTTCATCCCTTGGGGGAGCTTTAATGCACTGGGTTGCCTGCTCTGCAGAATCGAGAGATGTAACAAATGAAAATACCGTTACTGACCTTTTAATTTCCACTGGTCTGGATCCGAAAATTTAAATGTAGGCTAGTGAATTAAGTTCTATTCATATATAAATAAAATATGACCCCAAAGACTGTGAAATTGTCGTCTTTAACAATTGTTAGCTGTATTAAATACTCATATTCATATAAAATGGGCTGAAGAACACCTTCATCTAAACCTTTCTTGTGATCCTAGCTTTTCTATTCATGCACCATATCTACCTTTTAATAATAATCATCCTTGCATTTGATATAGCGCCTTATTACGTTTTCAAGACGTCTCAAAGCGCTTCACAGAATATACCGTAAAGCGAACTGACCATATATTTTGTGGATGAAATGCGGCAGCACAGCAGTGTCCCACAAACAGTCATTTTTTTTTTTGAAGGGATCATTACACCGAGAAAAACAATCCGCCAATCGACTAACAACCTGGTTCCTGTTAGGTAAACAGAGGCGTGTGGAGTAAGGAAACTTGCGTATCATTTAGCCCTGCCGGGAATCAAACCCAGGGCCCTTCGTTTGTGAGGAAAGTGCTCTAACCAATATGCTACAGGACTTTTGGATGGATACCCAATGCCAAACTGCAGTGCAACTACAGCAGTTTTTTTTTATCTCTGGCATAAAAGCATCCCTGCCTAAAGTGAGCCAGTGCTGCTTTAGGCTCCCCCGCTTTCAGAGGTTTACACTCTCCTTACCTGGTTCTCTTTTGCAGATGATTCCATGAAAGCAGCGTTCCAGGAATCAGCTAAGCTCTTCCCTTCTTCATAGCTGATCACCCTAAAAGCAAACACAAAAACACGTCGACACTCCAGCAGTTTATGTTTGTCGCACGTTGAGCGGGGGAAATACTTGGCAAGAGTTAAGTTGCTAACATTCCTTGGAGAAAAACCAAGGAATATTTCTGTAAACAAAAGCAAGTTTGTGCAGCTGAGAAACAAATGTCTTGTTTAGGACAACTGAGCTGTGCTGCAGTTTTGCAAACAGAGTAATCCTTGTATTTGACCTAAAGGGTGAAACTAGACTAAAGAGAAACTAGATTTCACTATAATTAGTAGTGGTGCAAGTGTTTTTTTTGCTGTAGTATTCCAAATTTGTTGCAAAGGCAAAAATAAAAGTATAGATTCATCTTTTCCAACCTTGAGAAATATTTCAATTGAAAAAGCATGATACTACACTACTCTTGCTGCACCTGCAGAACAACAGAAATGTCAAGTTATTCACTTGATGATTTTAAGAATCCAGGGGATCTCTGCAAAAATCAGCTGGCTGGGTTAATACTCTTCAGAACTCATTTTAATTGCATCAAAGGTTGCTTTACAGCTACCATGCTGCCAATACGTTTGTGCGTACTTCCACTGTGTAACAAGTTTTGGCAAGAGATTTCATAAAGAATCTGATGTAGTATGATTAGCAGCCACTGGGTGTCTTTTCAGCACTAAAAATACTTGCAATGATGAGCTGTAAACAGTGACATCTGTCAGTAACTTCAATGCATCTTGCCAACCTGCAGATCCTCTGTGCTGGAAGATTCTCAATTCAGAGCAGTTTCTATTGGTCAGCATGATGCATTTCCGGTTGCTGTTTGCAACTCCAGTTATGAATACCACATTTATTCTCCAACACCAAATCTTTGTTAAGTAAGGGTATCAAAGCTATATGGGGTAAAGGCGGGTAATTGGAGTTGAGGTACAGATTAGCCATGATCTAACAGAATGGCAAAACAGGCTAGAGGGGATGAATATTCCTATGTTGCTAACTAACCATTAACATTGATATCTGTTCATAAACGTGAATAGATGTCATTGTTAATGCTTAGTTTAATTTAGTTTGGCTGTTTTTATGGTGAGTGTGTAGCAATATCCATCAAGGAACAAACTTTTCTTACAGCAAGTAAGAACTGATCTGAAAAAATCCTTCCCTCTATTAGGAGATAGGTTTTGTTCTTAGACCTGTAGTATAGTAAGGAGACACACCACTTAGATCAGGCACAGCTGATGTCAGTGTTGACCCTAACCGGCTGCCCTCTCATTCCCAGATGCTAATCTCAGTTTCCACTCAATTCCTTGAAGTATCAGTTGAACGGGATTCAGTGCTTGTACGCCATCTAAACAGTTGGCTCTGACCTAGGAATGGCATTGGTCTTCTAATAGGGATAAGATTTTTTTTTTAAAAATCTGAACAGGGAAAACTACATGTAAAAGCGCTATTGGCTATAAAATACTTCCACCTTATTTATTATTTTGTGAAGGGGAAATGTGAAGGGAAGTCCTATACACTGCTCAAAACAAATTACATTTCTCATTAGAAAAATATCAATTCCATGTGACCATATTTAACACCGTGAACTTTGTGCATTAAAATGGAACATGCTGGAGAAGAAGCAAATGGAGTTCCAGTAGTTGGGTGCATAATTGTTGAAGACTCAATCACCAATGGGGATTACCAATCACTTACCAATGGGGTAAGTGGGGAAAATCAACAGCAGTCGGCCAAAGTTTGTCAGTGATGGGAGCAAGCAGAAGGGTGAGGTAGGAGAAGATTAAAGAAATAGGGAGGTGCTTGGGAATGAAGGGATTTATAGGTGAGGGCAAGAACCTTGAAATTAATCCCTTGCGAGACAAGATTCAGTGGATCCGGCTGAGGACCCGGGTGCAGGCAGCAGAGTTTTGTATGAGCTGGCACTTTTGGACGGTGGAACTAAGGAGAATGTCGAGAAGTGCATTTAAAAAATATCAGGAAGTCACAAGGGTGCAAATGAGGATGAAAAGCAGTCTTGGTAATGGACTGAATGTGAGGAAGGATGGAGAGCAAATAATCAAATTCAATGCTAAGGCTCAATGCTGGTTTGGTGAGTTTGAAAGAGGTCACAGACATTGAGGAGGTCAGAGCTTTTAACCTACATCACTCATCGCCACCTACCTTTCCATATGCAAATCCTTTTTATTTCCAACCAACATAATCGGTACTCTGCAAAAGTAAAAGGTACCCAGCAGTTTAGTACACATCAGAGATAAAACAGAAGAGCATAACCAAGAGAGATTGAAAAATATATAAATGATCTACTTACTGAACTTTCCCCACCATATCCAACAATTTATCGTGAATTACTTTGATCACTTCAAAACTGCAGACACACAAAGCAAAATACAATTAACAATCCTTGCACAATTAAAGAAAGAATTCAAGATGGTAACTCCCATGGTTTCAGGTGTTACCATTATTTAGAGGTGGCGTGGGGGAGGAAAGAGGGGGAGAGAAGTTTATAACCTCCCTCCTTAACTACGGAATGGAATGCATTTAGGAATACTGTAATTTTGACCTGTACCATTATTTTTTTTCTTTGTTACAACAAAAGTTGTGTCCCTAACTTTGTTCAATAAAGTCTGCTTACTGTTGTAACCTGATTAAAATCAGTAAAACATCAAGTACATTTGATACAATAAAAAACACTATTGTGTAGAAACCTGTACTCGGTCTCTTATCTTCTCCATCACCACTTGGTTCTTGAAGGAAGTGTTTGAAAACATGATCTTTTTCTAAAATACTGTAAAAACTCCAGCTTTGGAGCACATCCACAGAGAGTTAGAACTGGAAGGCAGGTCTGTGCCTCTGATTCACCATACAGTGAGCTTTAGGTCCAAACCAAAACAGTGAGCAAGGGAAGATTAGAAAGCAAACACAGTGGTTTCAGTCTTCCCATCGACTAGCTCGCAACTAGCAGTGGCAGGGACTTAATAATAATAATCCTTGCATTTGATATAGCGTCCTATTATGTCGTTGAAATGTGTCAAAGCCCTTAACAGAATATATTGTTGATTGACTGTATATTTCGTGGCAGCCAATTGTGCATAACAGTATCCCATAGACAGTCATGGATTGAGTGACCAAATTATTTTTTGAGGTAAAACAAAATTTTTTGGACTTGGGAGGCAGTACCCTCGCACATTGCTCAATCCTGTTGGGGAACCTGAAGAGGACTTGATAAGACCACAAATAAGATACTGATTTGGCTTCAATCACATTTCACCATAAAGTCCTTATCTACTGATGGAATACATAGCAGTCTAAAATTAGTAGTCTTTAAATGCCAATTCTGTTTTCTTGACTATGTTGATTGCACATGACACGCCACTACTGGTGGCATGCATTATAGTGAAAGACCACAGTACATTAATTAACATGTAGGAAAGGCTATTCTACTATATAGTCTCCAATACTGAAACAAGTCAAACAGTTGCAAGGGTCAACTCCCTTAAAAAGACACACACTTGCAATACAACAGTATATACAAAAAAAGCCACAAGATGTGACTAATATAGTCACTCTGGGAGTGGTGACCAACTGTTTGAAATTGTGGTGGGATACCAACTGGGCTGCAAATCATTTTTTGCACAGAAATAATTTATAATATGATTTTAGTAAAGGGCAAGGTTTAACTGTCACTGCAGTTATCTGAATATTAAGTGCTGAAATACCATAGCAAGTTTCTCTGACCTATGGTGAAGTGCTCGGAAATCACACAAAATAACATTCCAAGGACAATGATTGCAACTCCCATGTTAACGAAGCAATGCAGAAATGTAATCCTACAATCAAATATCAACCTCATTAAATTTAATCACCTCAGTAAAAACCTGTGTGTCTAAATGTTCAAAGGAGAATTCAGTAATTTAAGCTTTGGAATACAAAGTACAGATGATGATGGACTTAAGAGATGGTCATCTGCCCTTTTATTTGTTCTCATAAAATCATAGAATCTTACAGGATAGAAGGAGGCCATTCGGGCCATCGAGCCTGTGCCAACTATCCCACTCCCCTCCTCTTCTCTATTTTAATATTTGTTCTTCTTTTCTGTAGTATTCTCCCACTGAATATCAAACCTTGTAAAGATAGCTCTTCCGAAAAGATTTGTACCACTATATAATAATCTCTTTACTGCTAACAACACTATATTACACATAAATAAGAACAGATGAGGTTTCAGAGGCTGCCGCTCAAGGTCTGTGCTCTCAGCAAAAGGGAGAAAAGTAAGTCAAATTATTTCAGAAGAGGATAAAATAGGAAGAAACAAAGCTGTCTAGTGACTGGTTTCCTTGTTCATATCTTTTATTTTTTTTAAAAAAAGTTCCACTTAAAAAATGTGAGACGTGTCCAATTGTGTAAAAAGTCTTCTGTAATAAATGGCTACTGTGCCCTAGGCCATGAGATTTCTTAACTAATATATGAACAGTTTAGCTGTACTGACAGAAGCGCTTGTTATAGCAACCAATTATGAAAAACTACATTGTTTTCACCTCTGCATGAATACAATTAAGATGTTACAGTCATCATAAGGTTTACACTAATACTGTACAATTGACTGATATCAGTTACTATAATAGAGGTGTAGGAGTTAATATTATGTGTAGGAGTGTAAATAACAGAGCAAGTCATTAATAAATGGAATACCAGTTTTCACTAAATGCTTAAAGATACTCCAACACTAAATCACCACCTTGCCTTCTGAAGTGAGCTCTGGGACAGAGTCCTTCAGCTGCAGATACATTCAGCAATACAAGTCTTGATTTGGAGGCCAAGTATTATGAGGTTAATACCCAAAAGTTTTCATCCCCAATTTTCTTACAAGTGTTCAACAGTGGCCACATAAAAAGCAATCACCAATACATTATACTAAAACACTGTAAATATTGCCTAGCATTCCAGGAAATTAACTATGATTAAATGCATTTCCCCCATCCTCCTCTCACACACAAAGCAAATCATTCAGACACCAATATTGTAGGGAATAGGAGGGAAGATCTTTAGGCAATTTTCATGCAACACAAAAGAAAGCAGCTAACCCCCATTAACTGGAACATGCTATCCTCAATCAAAGAGAGACATAGAATTTTAAATGATATGTAAATACCCAAGTGAAATGAAAGGTTAACTTGAGATCCTTACCTTTTGTTGGAAGTAACTGAATACACCAGAATGTATCCGTTTATGTCTATGGAGTAGGTTTGAGGAAAAATGGAGTACTCATCCTAATAGACAAAAAAACACGTACTCAAGCTTGCTGAATTCAGGTTTTAAAATCGTTAAAATAAACCAAAATTGGCGTTCTTCAAGTTTCCCAATTTTCTTGAAATTATGGAAAAAATTTTGCATTGTTAAACTTTAATTTCTTAGTGTTTGAACTATATTAATGGGTCTGGATCGGGATTATTAATGACCACCTGAATAGGCAGGACTTGGTTTGATGTCATCCGAATGATGCCTTCGCAGGGCTCGCCTAGCACTGCACTGCAGGGACAGCCTCGACCAGGAGCGAGGAGGAGGGGCGGGGGGGGCGAGGAGGAGTGGGGGGAGCGAGGAGGAGTGGGGGGAGCGAGGAGGAGGGGGGGGAGCGAGGAGGAGGGGGGGGGGAGAGAGGAGGAGGGGGGGGGAGCGAGGAGGAGGGGGGGAGCGAGGAGGAGGGGGGGAGCGAGGAGGAGGGGGGAGCGAGGAGGAGGGGGGGAGCGAGGAGGAGGGGGGTGAGCGAGGAGGAGGGGGGGAGCGAGGAGGAGGGGGTGAGCGAGGAGGAGGGGGTGAGCGAGGAGGAGGGGGGGAGCGAGGAGGAGTGGGGGGAGCGAGGAGGAGTGGGGGGAGCGAGGAGGAGAGGGGGAGCGAGAGCGAGGATTTCACGCTTGTCTTACATTTGACTCTTATTTTTCTGACAAAAGATTCTGTTAATTGCACACATGAACATTCATCTTCCTGGCGAGGGAGGGGGAAGGGAAGCTGACCTGCCTCCAAGGTGACTTGAGTCAACCCCTCTGTGACAATCTGGGTAACGCGGTTCCTGAGCAAGGCAGGTCTGAAGTACTCCAAGGCACCGCTGATGACAGCCCAGCAAGCCTAACCCACTGATAAGACTTGGGAGGAGCAGACAAGTCACCGGGGGCAGGGATTCTTCCCACTTGTCTCCTGTTAACCCTGAAGTGGTTCCTAGCTGGATAAGCAGCAGGAAAGACTGCCAGACAATGCTTTCAATGGCAGTTTTAACTGGTTAAACTCCAGCAGTACCCCAAAGCACATTCTGGGTCCCCAATCTATTCGGCGCCGAATACTCTCTGGAATTAATTAAGCAGGATACGTCCCTCCAGGGAGAGAGAGTGCACAATTCCATTCCAATACACAAGAATTTCCATGAGTAGATGGCATTCTTATAACCATCAGTTTTATTTAGATACTCTGAAGCACGCATGTGTCAAGACACCCGGCTGACCAAAAAAAAACTTGTGAATCAATAAACATAAGAATTCCCGCACAATTCACTGACTTTAAACTGCAAAATTCTGCTATAAATTCATATTGTTATTGCACATGCATCATGAGGCATGAAATGAGTCTAAAAGTGCCCTTACCTGTCCAGCTGTGTCCACAAGCTGCAGATGGTATTCCTGCCCATTGACTGTGATCAATTTTGTAAATGCTGAAAGTAAAGAGGGTGGGGTGTAATTGTTTAGTGAAATGTGGCAATTTTTTGGTGGGAAAAAATACATTTTCCTAATCCCTTTTTCTCCTTTGTGAACATGACTTGTGATACGTGGAGTCCTGTAGCATATCGCTTCACAAGTCAGCGGACCCGGATTTAATTCTCGTGCAGGGTGAAACCTTAGGCAAGTTTCCTTACTCTACATTCCTCTGTTTACCTAGTAGTAAGTAGGAATCTGATTGTTAGTTAATTGGCAGATCGCTTTTCCGGGGGTAAATAATCCCTTCAAAAAATAATTTAAAAAATAATAATTTGGTCATTCAATCTACGACTGTTTGTGGGACACTGCTATGTGCAATTGGCTGTACGTGGTAGCGTCCCAGAGCGTTTGACAGTGGCGGAGTATGACACTGAACCGGTAGAAGGTGACTATAGGCACTGTCGAATAGGATGGTCTTCAGGGGAAGGCGGAGGGATAGAGGAAGAATGTTCCAGAGTTTCGGGGAGCAGTGACTGAAAGCGCGGCCACCAATGGTGGAAGCGGAGGGCACGAGGGTCATGCAGAAGCCAGTTGAGCAGAGGCAGTAGGTTGGGGGAAAAGCAGGTTGGAAAGGTAGGGAGGTGCCAGAGCATGAAGGGATTTAAAAACGAGTGCTAGGATCTTAAAATCGACCCATTCAGCAATAGGGAGCCAGTGGAGCCTGACTAGAACTGGTGTGATAGGGTTACGGAGTTTAGTGCGGGTGAGTATGCAGACAGCAGATTTGGGGATCATCTGGATCCTGTGCATGGTGGAGCTGGGGAGACCGGCAAAGAAGGCATTTGAGAAGTCGAGTTGGAAGGTGACAAATGCATGTTTGAGTGTTTCTGCTGCTTCTGGGGTTAGGTACGTCGGAGGCAGCGCAATGGGGCGGAGATGGAGGAAGGCAGTCCGGGTCAGGGACTGGATATGGGGAAGGAAGAACAGCTGTGGGTTGAATCTGACGCCTAGGTTGAGCACTGGCAAGTTTGAGGGATAGGCCAGGGAGGTTGAGGAGGTCAGAACCACAGGATAATAAACGTTGAAGGGAGCCAATGAGTATGGCTTCTGTCTTGTCAACATTGAATTGTAGAAAGTTTTTGTTCATCCAGGCCCTGATGTCCACCAGACAAGCAGAGAAAACATCGGCGGGCCTGGAGTTGCAGCTGGAGGAGAAGTAGATTTGTGGGTCAGCCGCGTACATATGGAAGGTTATTACCACGTGTCTGTGGATGACTTTACAGTATATTGTGTGAAGTGCTTTGAGACTCCTCGAAGATGTGATAAGACACTATATCAAATGCAAAGATTGTTATTACTTACAACCTTTAAAATCCTTTCTTCCTCCCTCAGCCACAATATTTTTTGAAAAAATACTGCTTAATTGCAGACTTTACAAAACTGCAATACTATACTGCATTTCATTTCTGATCACTTCAGCAGCTTATGCTGTACCATTTATTGTCTGCACTGCATGCTTCTCAGACTAAACCTACTGTATATCTGCTCAAGGCCCAAATTTTTCACATTAAAAACAAAGGTTGGTCAGCAGTCCCCATTTCATGAAGAAAGATTTCTTTCAGAGCATTATTCAAAGCTGAAAGGCAGGCTCTGATATAGCAATTTACTGCATATTTCTCACAGGGCTTTTCTTTCGAGAAAATAAAACTATTAATCCAGTGGCCTTTGTACTTCACAGCATGGAACTACAATACAATATTACCACATTGATTAAAACAAGCTTATCTATTCATAAAATTACCTTATCTATTTACTACTGCACTGAAACATTTCAAGTAGAAAACTTGCTTTTCAACAACATGCATTCAATGCCCTACATTTACAAAGTTCTATACCTGGACTAATGCTGCTTTTACATGACAGTCTGACTGTATCACACTGACTGGGTTACATAAAATGGGACCCCCATGGTATAATGGAGTGTGTTACTGTTATTGCTGGTCAGCACTTCCAGGGTCGTCAAGTCCACTGCTGTTATCACTGATTCATGCTGCACATGTGCAGAGTACACAGGAAGCAGACTGGCCAGCAGTGACTGCTCTCAGAGTCAGTGGGTGCTGGGGGCACCGTGGATGGGATGCCCTCTGTGTCTGTGCGCTATGTATAAGAAACTGGCCAGTCAGGGCTGGAAACAGGAAACATACCACACTTCTATATTCTGAAGGTTCTTGAGTTATTGCTGAATACTGAAGCACAGTATAACGTCCTCATGTTGTCGTTTATCTTCAGAGGCAGTTAGTATTATATGATCGCCAATTTCTAGACTCTGGAAAGAGCTGCAGTTTGTACATCTTGTTGCCTCTGAAACCAGAGATCCAGCTCGAAAATGAAAAGCTGGGAAAATGGGAACAAGTAGGGCAGATGACATTCCATACCTATTATTTTGCATTAAGCAAAGGCACCAAAATAGCCACAAGGTAAGCAACCACATTAACTGGAAGATTATTATCTTCTGTTGTTTGTTACAAACCATGGGTCAGCCTGGCTCAATTAGTAGAACTTTTACTTCTGAGTCAGAAGGTTTAGAGTTCAAGCCCCATATCAGACTCGGAACTCAAATTGGCTACCGCGTTCATTCCATTTTACAGTAAGGAGGAGTGAAGCGCTTCAAGATGCTCTCCTGTCATGAAGTGCCATACCAAATGCAAGGATTATTATTATACCGTATTTATAACAGTTGATAGGCGCTATATCAAATGCAAGGATTGTCATTATTTCTTCCAAATGGGCATATCTAAAAAATCGAAGAGAGTCACGTTGAATCAATGAAGCAAATAATTCATTCTGGATTAAACATTCTACTTTAGTTGGATGTAAAGCTCTGGAAACCCTGGTTTGTTGTGAGATTTATGTAAACTCCCCACAGATAGTGCTAAAATAAAAGCAAGAAAATTTTCATTTAGTCGCATAGATGGGTACCACTTCAGGACTTCCCTCACATATCCCAGAGTAGCTCTACTCATTTATAGAAGGCATGATCACAGGACAGCACAGGACATGCACACTTTACAATACAGATATTTCAGAGTCACCTTTTCAGGTCAGCCAGGTATTTAACAATCCTCGAATTCAAGATCCTCATCCTCACCTACAAGGCCATTCACGGCCTCGCTCCCTCCTACCTCTTTGAACTACTATCCCCCTACCTACCTGCCCGTACCCTCCGTTCCTCTGGCTCCTGTCTGCTCCACATCCCCCGCCCCAACCGCCCTACCATCGGTGGCCGGGCCTTCAGCCTCTCAGCCCCGAGGCTCTGGAACTCTATCCCCCAGTGCCTTCGCCGCCTCCTCCCTTTCCTCCTTCAAGGCCGGTCTCAAGACCTTTCTCTTTGACCGTGCCTTCAGCTCCCATCTCGACTCTCTACCCCCTCCTCGCTCCTTCCCTTCCCTCCCCCTGACCATTTCCCCCCTCTTCGCTCCCTCCCTTCCCTCCCCCTGACCATTTCCCCCCTGCTCGAGTCCTGACCCAACTGTACAGCGCCTTGGGACATCCTCCCGACGTGAAAGGCGCTCAATAAATGGAATCTTGTTATTGTTGTTGTTAACAAATGCAGAAATCCATCACTGTGTTTAAGAGTATCCAGACGAGACAGCTTTACATGTATGTCACCTTCATATGGGAATTTCCTTGTCTGGAATGGAATGTACAATCTCTCCCCGGAGGGATGCATCTTGTTCACTTAATTCTGGAGTGTATTCTGTGCAGGTTGGCAAGAGCCAAATCTTTGGTGCGTGTTGCAGTGCTGCTGAAGTTTAATCAGCTAACCAGGGGCTACCAACAACAACCAAGCCAGCTGACTCCTGTTAAAGTGAGAGACTAATTTTAGCTGGAGAATTGTTACTAGGACATGTAGAGAAACTCCCTTCTCTTTTCAAACGTCATGGGGATCCTTAATGTCCACCTGAGGATATTGCTTTAACACCTCATCTAAAGGACCGCATCTCCAATAATGCAGCAATACATCAGTCTAGACGGAGTGATAAACCCTTAAAAAAATGTGGTCACTCAATCCACGACTGTTTGTGGGACACTGCTGTGCGCAATTGGCTGCGTTTCGCCCACAAAATATACAGTCAATTCAATTTTACAATATGTTCTGTGAAGCACTTCGAGACCTCTCGATGATGTGATAAGTTGCTATATCAAATCAAAGATTATATTATAAGTGAATTTTGATGCATTGCTAAATTCTGGTGCATTTGTTCTATGACAACATTCTTTGTTAGGAAGCAACCATGCCTATTAAGAAAGGCTGTGTCAGTGGTAAGAAATACTCAATGTGAAAGTGCCTTTCCATTCATTACAACTCCAACAGCATCAGCAACAGCAACTGACCTAAAACGCAAGGATAGCTCAGCACAGTAACACACAAGTTGATTCTGCAATCGGTCAGTGCTAAAAGTAGAACGTCCATCCAAACTACATGTTAAGATATCAGCAGTCTTTCACCTTCCTGTTCTTGTACCATGTATACTGTATTTTGCAATCTGCAAAATAAACTCTTCTGATCTGATTCTGAGCCACAAAAAGTTGTCATTTTGTTAAAAGGTGGCACTTTGCAAATGAACATTTTACAGCTCAATAGAGATGAAGCACATCAAATCCAAAAAGATATACATCAACTGAAAATATTCTGCTGGAATTTTCATTGTATCTAAGCTTTGTTTCCCCTTCTAAAGTTTCATCTACCAGTTGTAGATAAATAAAATAGATTATTATTGTTAAACAGGCAGTGCCTGTCAGCACTTCCGAAATAGTGATGTTAACAGTAATTTCACTAGGGAGCACTGCCAGCTTCTCTCGCGATGTACGGCTTTATTTGTGAGCAGTGCTCCATAATCTATCCGTCTTATAAGCGAGACTATAATGTATTGAAGTCATAAGTGGAAAACCTCTCCTTCTGCGCTCCCCCAGGTATGACATGCTTCAGTGTAACACTTCTCTTACAGTGTGGACC